GAGTGCAGTGGCACAATCTCGTCTCACTTCAACTTCCACTTCCCGGGTTCAAGTGATTCTCCTGCCTCAGCCTCAAGAGTTGCTGGGATTACAGGCATGTGCTACCACACCCAGCTAATTTTTGTATTTTTAGTAGAGACAGAGTTTTACCATGTTGTCCAGGATGATCTCAATCTGCTGACGTTGTAATTCGCCCACCTCAGCCTCCCAAAGTGCTGGGATTACAGGCGTGAGCCACCGTGCCCGGCCAATAACATTTCTTTCTGTGCCCACCTTCTCCATGCAGAGGTTGACCCTACACCTACTCCATGTGTTCTGAATCTCGTGTGACTGCACTCTCTTGATGTCTGTCATGGGATGGGTCTGTGTCCAGCTACTCCCAGGGAGGATCTTCGGTTCAGTATTATTTACTGAGAGGCAAAGTGGTGGTGGTAATGTCACTGCTTCCTCCTCCAACTTCTCCTTCCTCCTTTTCCCTCCTTTTTTCTTGCCCCTTCCAGAGGTCTTGCACCCCCGTTTCCTTCCAGAATATTGCTTTGAAAAGAAAGAAAATTCAACTGAATTCAGAATGTGTGGCACTTGGATGGGTAACAGGTAAGATGTTTATGTTCTTCATTTTTCTCCCAAGAAGAGCACCTCTAGACTTTTTAACATGATGTGGCAGTCTTTAATGACTGGTGGACATGGTGATGATAGTGCTCACACAGTACTAACTATTTCATGTGTCTAAACTAGTTTAGACTTGTGTTATTAAATTAAAAAATCATTTCCGGTGTTTAAAGCAGCTTTCCTCCCTAGTTATGTTAAATCGGAAGTTTATAAGAAACCTACTGAGACAGTGATATTTCAGCTTTATGGAGTGGATATTCAAGGCTTCCAAAGCTGTGAAGGGATGTTTTGACTGAGAGCTCTGTGAGGCCCTTGCTTCCTGCTCAGCAGCATCGCCCTGCTGCAAGACTATCTGCGCAAGCTGCTCCTCTTTGTTGACCTGTTGATCACTATCGCCTCTAATCACAAGCACAGTTGAACACACATCTGTTCACACTTGCCCCAATAGCTGCTGGCCCTCTGGTCCTATGGGGAAACTTTTTTCTTTCAGGATATCAGTGCTTTCTGTGATGAAAGATTCAATTCAGTGAAGATTTACTGAGTACCTTTCAAATTAAGATAATATGCAAGGTACTCTGATGAAATAGATGACATCCATTCCTAAATTACGAATAGATAACAAGAATCTAGAGTGCCAAGCTCTGAGTTAGGCTCAAGGAATGTGATTAGGAACAAGGCAGCCCCACACTTTTGGAATTTCTCTCTTCTAGGGAAGACAGATGCACAGAAAATGCAGTTATGTGTTGCATAATGATGTTCAGGTTGATGATGAATGATGTAAAAGATACTGGCCCCATAAAAATATAATACTGTATTTTTCAGTACCTTTTCTATGTTTCAATACACAAATTCTTAATGTTGTGTTATAGTTGCCTACAGTATTCAGTACAATAACACACCATACAAGTTTGTAGCCTAGGAGCAATAGGCTATGCCATGTAGTCTAGGTGTGTAGTAGGCTATGCCATCTAGGTTTGTGTGTACACTCTATGATGTTCACATAACAGAATTGCCTAACTACACATTTCTCAGAATGTATTCCTGCAGTCCAGCAATGCATGACTACTAGAAAGTGTGGTGAGTGTTATAAGCGTGATAAGCAGGGACTGAGACGTGTGATGGGGATGTGACCTTGTCTGGTGAATTAGGGAAGGCTTCTCTCCATTTGCAAGACACAGTAGGATTTAATCTCATATGAGGCTTACTGAGCTTTCTAGAATGATTCTCAACAGAACGCACTGCACTGATCTTGTTGAGGATCATTCTAAGAAGAAAACTGTCTTCCATGAAACCCGTCCCTGCTGCCGGAAAGGTCCCCAACGTTTTGGCACCAGGGACCAGTTTCATGGAAGATAATTTTTTTATGAACAAGAAGTGGGGGTGGTTTGGGGATAAAACTGTTCCACCTCAGATCATCAGAATTAGATTTCATAAGGAGTGCGCAACCTAGATCCCTCACGTGCACATTTCACAATAGAGTTCATACTTCCATGAGAATCTCATGCTTGCCGCTGATCTGACAGAGGTGAAGCTCAGGCGGTAATGTTTACTCACCTGCTGCTCACTTGCTCTGTAGCCCGGTTCTTAACAGGCAATGAACCAGTCCTGGTCTGTGGCCTGGGTCTGGGGACCCCAGGAGGGAGCCCGACAGCTGCTGCATATAGCACTTCTTATACCCCTCACCCAGGCAGGCAGGTGTGGTTACTATAGGCAAAATCCAAGGTGGGGTGTGTCACCTAGACATAAAGAAGCAGCAACCTGTTTTCAACTAGTCTTACTTTTTTTTTTTTCAATTATTTTGCCTCCAAAGTCTCTTATTACAAAACCATGCTGCTATAAAAAATCCAAAAAGCTATTTTAGCTAATGAAAACTCAAATAACGTCAGGCACAAAATGAATCAAGTGTTATGCATATACAATAGAGAGTGATGGGGAAAGTGGAGAGGCAGAGGACGCATGTCATATTTAATGGCAGTCTAACTTGTGGGTTTTTAAAATTTCAATAGGCTTTGGGGAACAGGTGGTGTTTGGTTACATGAATAAGTTCTTTAGTGGTGACTTCTGAGATTTTGGGGCATGAACTGGTCTTTTTAGGTTTTATATTAAGTTCAGGGGTACATGTGGAGCTTTGTTATATAGGTAAATTTCTGTACAGATTGTTTTATCACCCAGGTATTAAGTCTAATTCCCATTAGTTATTTTTCCTTTCCTTCTCTCACCCTCCACCATTCAGTAGGTCCCAGTATCTGTTGTTCCCTACTGTGTATCCATGTGGTCTCATCATTTATCTCCCATTTACAAGTGAGAACATGTAGTATTTGGTTTTCCTGTTCTAGCATTAGTTTGTTGTGGTTAATGGCCTCCAGCTTCATCCATGTTCCCACAAAGGAATAGATCTCATTCTTGTTTATGGCTGCATAGTATTCCATGGTGTATATGTACCACATTTTCTCTATCCAGTCTGTCATTGATTGACATTCAGGTTGCCTCCATGTCTTTGCTATTGTGAATAGTGCTGCAATGAACATTCATGGGCATGTGTCTTTAAAATAGAATGATTTATATTCCTTTGGGTATATATCCAGTAATGGGCTTGCCGGGTCAAATGGTAGTTCTGTTTTTAGGTCTTTGAGGAATTGCCACACTGTTTTCCACAATGGTTGAACCAATTTACACTCCCACCAACAGTGGATAAATGTTCCTTTTCTCCACATCCATGCCAGCATCTGTTATTTTTTGACTTTTATTAATAGCCACTCTGACTGGTATAAGATGCTATCTCATTGTGGTTTTGATTTGTATTTATCTAGTGGTCAATGATGTCCAACTGGTCTCTATAGGGTTCTTACCTCTAAGTGTGTGAGCCAGGCACAGCTCTCTCAGTCTAGGTACAATATAAATGCTCCAGAGTTTTTTGGTAAACCAACTCCTGGTGCACAGCGTTCCACACTGATCACAACATGCTTGCTTCTGAGGAGATGGCACTCTGAGAAAGCAGGTCTGTGATCACCTTCCCAAGCAGGCTTTGGTCTATTCAGGGCCTGGGCTAGTCTTCGCCCTCTGGTCACTGCTTCCTTCTCTGCTGACTGACAGTGACTACAACTCAGATCTGAAGTCTAAGTAGGAGGTTCCAGTAGATAAAGAGAAAGAGTGAACAATTCTAGACAGTAGGCACAGCAAGTGTAAGCATGAGGCCTTGGAGCATAAGAACATGTAGGGAATGATAAGGAGCCCAGCAACTTTTTGGGAAGACAGGCAAGAGAGTGAGCAGGAAGTTCTAAGTTCTAAGATAAGCGCCAACTATGAAGGAGCTGATAGCTCATCAGTGCCAATGATTTTGGTCTTGATCACAAAGGAAGCAGGAGACATGGAAAGGTTTTAGGGCAGGTGAATGACCTGGGCAGGTTAGGTATATTTTAAAAGCCACAATGGCTGCCGTGTAGAGAATGGATGCATAGAATAGATGGAGAAGCCAATTACAAGACTGATAGAAAGAGTAAAGATCATGAAGATGTCCAGTGGTGATGAAGAGAAGTTAATGGATGCATTCCAGAGACATTTAGGAGATAGAAAGAACAGGACATATCAATATTGGCCTTGAATGTAAGTGGGCTAAATGCCCCCACTTAAAAGGCACACAGTGGCAAGCTGGATAAAAAAGCAAGACACAATGGTATGCTGTCTTCAAAAGACTCATCTCACATGTAATGACACCCGCAGGCTCCAATAAAAGAAATGAAGGAAAATACACCAAGCAAATGGAAATCAGAAAAAAGAAGGAGTTGCAATCTTAATTTCAGACAAAACAGACTAAATCAACAAAGACCAAAGAAGATAAAGAAGGGTATTACATAATGGTAAAGAGCTCAAGTCAACAAGAAGACCTAACTAATCTAAAGATATACGCACCCAACACAGGAACACTCAGATTCATAAAGCAAATTCTTAGAGACCTACAAAGAGACTTGGACTCCCACACAATAATAGTGGGAGACTTTAACACAGCACTGACAGTATTAAACAGATCATTGGGGCAGAAAGTTAACAAAGATATTCAGGACCTGAACTCAACATTGGACTAAATGGACCTGATAGACCTCCACAGAACTCTCCACCCCAAAACAAGAGAATATACATTCTTCTCATTACCACATGCCACATACTCTAAAATTGACCATATAATGGAATATAAAACAAGTCTCAGCAAATGCAAAAGAACCAAAATCATATCAAACACACTCTCAGACCACAGCACAATAAAAATAGAAGACAAGACTAAAAAATCACCAAAACCATGTAATTGCATGGAAATTAAACAACATGCTTCTGAATGGGTAAATAACAAAATTAAAGCAGAAATCAATAAGTTTTTTTGAAACCAATGAGAACAAAGGTACAACATACCAGAATCTCTGGATGCTAAAGCAGTGTTAAGAGAAAAATTCATAGCACTAAATGTTCCCAATCAAAAACTTAGAAATATCTCAACTTAACGATCTCACATCATAACTGAAAGAGCTAGAGAAGCAAGAGCAAAGCTAGCAGAAGGCAAAAAATAAGAAAATCCAAATAAACACAATTAGAAATGACAAAGGGGATGTTACTACTGACCACACAGAAGTAAAAATAACCATCCAAAACTACTACAGATGTCTCTAAGCACACAAACTAGAAAATCTAGAAGAGATGGATAAATACCTGGATACAAACACCATCCCAAGACTGAACCAGGAAGAAACTGAGTCCCTGAACATACCAATAACAAGCTCTGAAATTGAATCCATAATAAATAACTTACCAACCAAAAAAATCCCAAGACCAGACAGATCCACAGCCAAATTCTACTAGATGTACAAAGAAGGGCAAGTACCATTCCTATAGAAACTATTTCAAAAAATTGAGGAGCAGAGAGTCCTCCTCAAATCATTCAATGAGACCAGCATCATCCTGATACCAAAACCTGGCAGAGACACAACAACAAAAAA